TATATATATATATATATATATATATATATATATATATATATGTATATGTATATATATATATATATATATGTATACATAAAATGTTTTTAAAACATCGTTTCCACCATCTGCCCCAGACCCGTCCCGGTCCACCCGTCTGCCGGGATCAGGGTTCGGTCTTCATGAGCAAGTGAGGCCAGGGGCTGGGCAATGGCCTTCTGCGAGTCAGCAGTTTGCATGATCCTCCTTTGATGATTTCTAGGCAGGAGACCCATTTGGTGCAGGCAGGCAGACAAGACTCAAAGAATATAAATCAATAATTTATTATTTACAAAATAAAGATGGCTGATGGGGCAGCAAACTTACATAAATCATGGGACAGGACGCAGGACACAAGGAGCAGGACACGAGGAGCATAACAGGCATCACAGTGAGACACAATGACCAGACAATGTGGGACGCAGGCAAACAGACTTAAATACACACACTAACAAGACTAACACAGAACATCTGTGAAACATCACAGGTGCAGACATCAGGGAGAGAACAGACAAATATGGAACACTAGAGGGAGACAGAGACCAGGGAAAGCACAACTCCTACAGTACCTCCCCCCCAAGGACGTCCCTTGACGTCTCCAAGACCCCACACCCCCAAAACGTGGGTGGGAGGAGGGGGAAAGCCAACAGGGAGGAGGGCACTAGGAAAAAAAAGAGACACGAGTGGAATGAAGAACTGGACAGGGTACACTAGGGGCAAGGTACAACACATGGAAACAAAAGGAGGTCAGAGTTCAGGTAAGGAACTGTGAGATTGTCCAAAAAGCAGTAAACAGGTCAGACAGGCAACCATTCACCAGGTCGGGCAGAGCAGGAGTGAGGACCTCAGCAGGCGGATCAGCAGTGAGGAGCTCAGCAGCGAGGAGCTCTTCTGCGGCTGGATAGTCTGGGGCTGGATCTTCGGCGGCAGGATCTGGAGCAGGAGCGGAGTCTGTCTGGACCCCCTCTGAACAGGAGAAGTGAGGAGCGTCCACCTGGACCCCCTCGGAACAGGAGAAGTGAGGAGCGTCCGCCGGGACCCCCACGGAGCAGGAGAAGTGAGGAGCGTCCGCCGGGACCCCCTCGGAACAGGAGAAGTGAGGAGCATCCGCCGGGACCCCCTCGGAGCAGGAGAAGTGAGGAGCATCCGCCGGGACCCCCTCGGAGCAGGAGAAGTGAGGAGCGTCCACCGGGACCCCCTCAGAACAGGAGAAGTGTGAGATCCACCACGGGGGCTGCGTGCAGCGTGGGATCCATCTCAGGGGCTATGTGCAGCGTGGGATCCACCTCGGGGGCTGCGTACAGCGTGGGATCCACCTCGGGGGCTGCGTGCAGCGTGGGATCCACCTCGGGGGTTGCGTGCAGCGTGGGATCCACCTCGGGGGCTGCGTGCAGCGTGGGATCCACCTAAGAGCAGGAGAAGTGAGGAGCGTCCACCGGGACCCCCTCAGAACAGGAGAAGTGAGGAGCGTCTTCTGGGACCCCCTCGGAGCAGCAACAGGATCTGGAGTAGACGTTTCTGGGTCAGTGGGCTCAGGACAGGTTGGGTCCTCACACAGCATGGATGATACAGAGGCTGCAGGAGATGGAAAAACAACGGGGACTGTAGTAGGCATGGGAGCGACCACAGGGGCTGCAGCTGTGAGACCCTCAGGAGCCAGGAGCATGATCCGAGGAAGCGCCAGGGGTGTAGCTGGAGGCTCAGAGTCTCTAAAAGGACCCCGCAGTTTGTCTTCCAAGGGCAGAGCAGTGAGAGTCGGGCTGCCTGCTGGGTCTTGGTTTGGTCTGGTCATTCTGTGATGATTTCTAAGCAGGAGACCCATTTGGTGCAGGCAGGCAAGACTCAAAGAATATAAATCAATAATTTATTATTTACAAAATAAAGATGGCTGACAGGGCAGCAAACACATAAATATGGGACAGGACGCAGAACACAAGGAGCAGGACACGAGGAGCATAACAGGCATCACAGTGAGACAATGACCAGGCAATGAGGGACGCAGGCAAACAGACTTAAATATACACACTAACGAGACTAACACAGAACACCTGTGAAACATCACAGGTGCAGACATCAGAGGTAGAACAGACAAATATGGAACACTAGAGGGAGACAGAGACCAGGGAAAGCACAACTCCTACACCTCCGCGGTGACCAGTGGCACACGGAGCACGCAAGCCCGAGCCCCGAGTCTGTAGCACGGAGGATCTTCTGCGGTGACCGGTGGAGCTCGGAGCCAGGGACATGACGCCCTACACAGCCTGAGGGGGCTCAGAGGCTCCGGTGGAGAAGACCAAAAGAGTTGGGGAACGGCAGTGTTCCATCTAGCTCGCTCTGAATTTTGTTGTTGGTCACCAAACAAAAAAAAATGCCTGGACTTCAGCATTAGGCCACGGTGTAGTCATTATTATTTTAAAAATCTTAAAAAAAATATGTCCATCCTATGTTCCTTGTTCTGAGTAATTACAAATGGCAAATCAGTGTTTTGAAAAGTTTCTGAAAGATCCAGTGACTCTGCCCCCTCACCAATCAGTGACTGACAGTGTTCTGATGTCATGTTTTGGTGCTGGCTCGACTCGCTTGGTCCCCTTGAAAAGAAGGGACCAAATAAGGTGCCAGTTCCACCAAAAAGTGTTGGTGGAAAACGGCTGGGAAGCATACCAAACTGAGTCAAGTCATGCTGAAGAGGAGCTATGGAAAAGGGGCTTATGTGGCCCTGTGATGGACTGTTGTCAATGGAGGTGATTTTGAGAGTGAAATCAGAGTTAAAGCAAGGGTTGCAGCCTTGACTCATCTATGCAGGACGGAGGTGTGTGTGTGTGTGTGTGTGTGTGTGTGTGTGTGTGTGTGTGTGTGCACTTCAGGCTTGATTGTGGACAGAATGGAAATTGTTTAAATTTGTAAAAGATCATACCCAAATCATTTTAAATCACTTTTTTAATCATTTAAATGTATACTTATATGTGATGTACGTGTGATAGAAGATTTTATAATCAAGTTGTAAGGTAAAGAAACAATCAGCAGTTAGACTGTGCAACTGTTTTACAACCTTACGAGCAAACAAAGGAGTAACTCCTAAGTGTTGAACTGTATAAACACTGTGACCTCATTCGAAGCAGAATCGAGTGAAAAACATTGGGCCAAAATGTTCCAGGAGGGTGCAACACTCTCCTGGAATGCAGAATGTTCTAGAAGTTGGTAAGAGTGACAACTCCATGGAACAAATCATAAAGCTTACAGCAGAGGGCTTCACTTGTAGGGGCGAGCCTAGCTGATTGGGCATGTCTGTACTTGCCATCAAAGTAAGAAAAGCTATAAAAGGAAGAGATGCGAGCACAACTGGGCTGGATAGAAATTCGCATAGCTGAGCAAGCTAGGAGACGCAAACAGATGCTACGGAGGACCGAGGTTGTTTGCTGGTGGAGAGTGAAGCAGCAGCCTGGGAGGTGCTTGGAAGAAAATCACGATCAAAGGAGGAAACTTGGAAGAGTTCAAGTCGGAAACTTTGGCGGTTGGCATAAACCGGTTTGTGAATGAATCGGGATGGCAGCTAAGGAGGTAGAAGAGGAGGATTTAGATAGTGACATGGATATAGGTAGTTGGACACCTGTAACAATTAAATGAGGAAATTGGGAAAGCAGTGGTAATCAGGCGGATGGAAATTCAGCAAATAAAAGATATCTGGAAGGAAATAGCTCAGATGAAGGGAATAATGGGATGCGTAAAAAGATTATGAAAGAAGAAA